ACAGAGAAGTTATCTGAGTACAGCCCATGCCTTCATTGTGTCAATTAGATCATTGTAAGATTTACTCTAGCCTGCTAAAAGGCCCACCTATAAACAGCATAATAAAGACGAAGATCCCACCTTAAAGCCAAAATTGCATTTTTTAAAAAACTCAGGAGGTTTAGGAAGAAAGATTATTGACATACTCTTTAGCAAACAGGTAACTCTGCCCACCTTGGAGGAAGGGCAGTCTTGATTGATAAACCAATTTTGCAGAATCACCTAGAGGACTGATAAGAAACTTAATGTCTCATCGAGGATAGTTGGGACCACTTAACAAGCCCACACCCTAGCCCTCTTTCACATTTCTGAGAAATCCTTTATTAAAAGGGGGAATTCCCAACCTTTCAGGGCGCTCCTCTCTGGGACCGCTCGCAGTTTCTAAGTGTGTGACCTTTTAATCTTAAACGCTCTCTCCACCCTTTCAGGGCGCTCCTCTCACTCTCTGAAGTCACCTGCAGTTCTTTCTAATTAACTTTAAATAAAACTTTTATTCTGCTTCACTACTGTGTCTTTGCCCTTCAGTTCTGCCGCGGCGGGGACAAGAACCGAGGAAAATACACAGCGTCTCTCCCCCAATACCTCGAAAGCTTTCTGGGTTTTGGATCATATTTAGAATTGCCTTCTCTTTCCCAAGACTTTGAAAAAGTTCCCCCACGTTTACTTGTAGTCCCTTGACCGTTTGCATTTACACTTAAATCCTTAAGTGTAAGGATTGCAATCTATCCCGGTGTAAAGGGTAGTGTACCACATTTCCATTTGTACAAGAAGCCTTTTCATCTTTCCCTAAGTGTTAACTCTACACACACTCGTCCGGGTTTTGTGGTTGAATGAAGGAGGCCGGGCCGGAGGGTCCAGCACTGGAGGCGGCGTGGGCAAGTCTCCGCCAGAACCCGCCGGGCGCTGTCCCACGCCCTGTCACACACTCCAGACCCACGCTCCAGAGACCCGGAGACCCTCGCGTCCCGCGAACCCCCCGCCTCCAGGAAGCAGGTGGGAAGCTCTGCGCGTGTTCCGCCACCTCGGACCTCCTGCGCCTGCCGATTCACGCCCCGCCGGCCTGCCTCGGTTCCCCGGTCCCCGCTCCTCCCCATCCTGCCGACCGTCCCCTACCCGCACGGCCGTAGGTCAGTCCGCGACCTCCCTCCGGCCGATTTCCTCCCCGCGCCCCCTCGTCAGCCGCCGCCCACGTCCTCCCTCCGTCCCCGCCGGGGAGGCGCGGTCCCTCCAGCCCGGCTCCAGCGGGGCGGGGCCTCGCGGCGGAAGTGCCCGCGGCGCGGGCGGCTGGGACCGGCCGGGGCGATGCGAGCCCGCGGCGAAGGCTGCGGCGGGGGCCGCAGGGGCTGCCCGGGCGGCGCGCGCGGGCGACCGGGGGCGCGGTGCGGGTAGCTCCAGGCCGAGCGCGGAGCTATGGGCCGCGCCGGGACCCGGGCTGGGGTCGCGGCGGCGGCGGCGGCGTGGGCGCTGCTGCTGTTGGCTTGGCCCCCGCCCGCCGCTGGCGACAGCGGCGAGAGCGGTGAGCGCGCGGCCGGGCGTCATCCCGGGGCGGGCGGGGCCGGGATCGATCGTCACTAGCCTGGGGGTACCTGCGCGCTCGCTGGCGCCGGCGCCGGGCTGGGGGCGCAGGACGGCCCTCGTGAGAGCTCGCGTCGAAGTGACCGGGGAGTAGCGGACGACGGCGCGCCCTCCTCTGTCCCCAGGGCCGGGTTCCGCCCGTCGGGACCCCTTGGAACGTGCCCTCCCTTCTCTACTCTCAGCGCGTTCAGGTCGGTCACGGCCATCACGCGCCCGGACTTGGAGATAGAGAGGCCCACGGGGGTCCATGGGGACTCAAGTGGGACTCTGGATGCCAGGCCAGCCGGGATGAAGAATTTGGCAGTGGGATTCCAGGGCCCCCAGCTGTTGTGGGAGAGGGGCAGAGTTGGGAGAAAGTTGTCGCAGGGGCTCAGGTGGGCGTCCTCTCCCCGCCCCCAATGGTGGCCCCCGCCCCCAGTGCAGTCACTTCCAACAGCTGGCCTTGCTCCACTTCCTGGAGCTCAGGGACTGGGCTCCAGGCGGCCTTGAGGAGCTGTTTGGCCACCCGGTTCTGAGTAAATGGCGTTGGACACTCGCCGCATGCCCTTGAATTACTCCTCCCTGAGAGGCCCCATTCAGGACCGAGGCACATGGAGGTGGCTAGACCAGAGGTGCTGCCCCTCAGCCTGACTGGGGGTGTTGAGCGACCTCCCCTGACTCCTGTGGCCTGAGAGTCCCTGAGGGCCATGAGGCTGGTGCGCCCCTGGGCAGGAGGCCCTCCAGTAGAGTCTAAGGCTGCTGCCCACTTCGGGCTCCCAGCCCCTACCCCTTCTCTAAGATCTTGCTCCCCTCAGCTCCTATTTCTTTGAGGGCTATGCCTCTGATTTCGGGGATTGGTGCAGCCTGAAATAAAAGGCAGCTTCCCCGGAGATCAGCTCCTGATTAAATTCCTCCCTTGGATACCACCACCCTCATCTTCTCCTTTTTCACCACCCTGGGGGCAGGGCTGAGTGAGGGGTCACTGGTAGGGAGGTTAGGGAGATGGAAAACCTGGGTGATCTCTCACCTCCCAGGCTTGTTGAGGGGCCAGGTGCCTGTCCTAGTTTGGAGTGTGAAGGACCGAATGCCCTTTCTCAGGTTCCCAGGATGGGCTCAGGGACTTTCCTTTCTCTTCTCACCTGTGTCCTTAGAAGTGGCTTGTGGGGCCAGGCTGGGGTGCACACAGCTGGCACTTCCTGGTACCAGAGATGTGGCTACCACATCCGGCCCAGACTAGTGTGTTAATGGCCTGGTGTGTTCACCAGGGTTACCCTGTGGGCAGGGAGGTGAGACTGCAGCCCACAGTGGGGGATGCTGGAGGGGCTGTGTTGGCCTTGGGAGTGGGGGACCAGTTGGTCTTAGGGGCGCCCCTGAGCAGGTGTTTTCTCTCTGGTGCACCTGCTGAAATTTCACAGCTGGGTTCCAGGTGTGCGCAGGCTGGTACTTCAGGGCCATGGACGTCAGAAGGCCTTGCCCCTCTCAGGTCAGGGGGCTGGGTGCCAGCTGGCTGGCTGTTTCGCTAAGGCCCCCTACTTCTCAGGAGTGAATGGGGGAGGCGGCCCTGCCTCAGCAACAAGCATTTTTCGTTTTTTTTGGTCCCTGTCATCATGTTATCCCAGGGGCTGCAGCAGCCTTAGTTCAGCACTGAGGCCACACCTGGTGGGTCGGACCTGGTAGCCAGCGGACACCTGGAATGCTGCCCAGCACCCCCATGCGTGGCTCTAGTGGAGCTCAGACTGGCTTTGCGAGTGGGTTGTCTTTTCTCAGCGTGCGTCCGTGGGAGGTTCAGGAGGTTGGCAGGAGAGCCAGCTATTCTCCTGGCTTCCTTACCTGCTCATGTGGAGGGGCACCAGCCTTAGCGATGGCGTGGTATGAGCTTCCAGTCTTCCTGTGGGCAGAGAGGCACCCAGCTTGGAGGAAAGTGAGGCCATAGCCTGCTGTGTTCCGTGCATTTCTTCTGGAAGCACTTTAACATCCATTAACCTTGGAGGGAGGGTCACCACCTTGGCTAACTCATCAGGAAGCTGGGACCCAGAGAGGGTAATGGATATCCAGTCACACGGGCACGAGGCCTGAGCTGGCGCAGGGGCTGGGCTCCCTCCATCCAGCCAGCCCCTGGGCCTAGTCAGCCACCCAGGTGGGGCACAGAGAGTGCTCAGAGTGTACCTGTTCTGTGGAGACTCCCAGAAGGCGGTCTCGGGTGGGCACCCTCACCCACCCGTGTGGCAGAGATGATTACATTGTGGGGCTTGGACATGTGCCCCAGGGGAGGTTGTGCCCTGGTTTGTGGACACTCGCAGGAGGGGTCTAATCCAGGATGGGGCCTCAGGCCTCTGTGTTGAGTACCAGAAGATCCTCAGAGCTGGTTGGAAAAGCTGCTGTGATGGGGAGTGAGCAGAGTGCCAACTTTGGGAGTGTGTAAGGCTGGGGGTCTGGAGAGCCATAGAGGCGGGGGCCTGAGAGGCACTGAAGGACCGGTTCATGCAGGAGCCCCATGCTGGGGCCATGGGCAGTTTGTCCACCCCGGGCCCCTCCATGTGCCCACGGAGCACGGGTGGCATGTCCTCCAGCCTGAGGTCCCTCCTCCTGGGATCTCTGTCTGCCACCTCTCTGGGTGAGAGGGCTTAGGCTCCAGTCCAGCTGTGCCCCAAGCTGTCATGGGCCTAAGCAGGTGGTCAGCCTCTAGATCTGAAGCACCTGGCCTCTCAGGTGGAGCCAAGAGCATGGACCACAGCCCATAGCTGGGAGCCTCAGAGGAGGAGAGGGTGTCTTGGTGTCCAGCACCCAGGGCAGAGGTGAGGAGGGGTGGGGCTCCCATCACCTCCTGTGTGTGCCAGCCTCCATCTCTGGGCCCTTAGCACCTCAGGGCTGCAGTGTGAGGGAAACCCTGAGTAGCGTGCAGGAGAGGCTGGTTCACACCGAGGACGGGACTCTGCTATAAGGTCTAAGGCATTTGGGGTCACCTACACTGGGGTGCTGCCATGATAAGGCCCAAGGTGGGCTGTGGGCAATCTGACCAGAGGTGGGCTGTGGGCAATCTGGACAGAGGTGGCAGGGAGCGGGCCCAGGGTATGAGCTTGTGACAAGATGGAAGTTGTGAGACTACAGCCCGAAGTGGGGGATGCTGGAGGGGCTGTGTTGGCCTTGGGAGTGGGGGACCAGTTGGTCTTAGGGGCGCCCCTGAGCAGGTGTTTTCTCTCTGGTGCACCTGCTGAAATTTCACAGCTGGGTTCCAGGTGTGCGCAGGCTGGTACTTCAGGGCCATGGACGTCAGAAGGCCTTGCCCCTCTCAGGTCAGGGGGCTGGGTGCCAGCTGGCTGGCTGTTTCGCTAAGGCCCCCTACTTCTCAGGAGGGAATGGGGGAGGCGGCCCTGCCTCAGCAACAAGCATTTTTCGTTTTTTTTGGTCCCTGTCATCATGTTATCCCAGGGGCTGCAGCAGCCTTAGTTCAGCACTGAGGCCACACCTGGTGGGTCGGACCTGGTAGCCAGCGGACACCTGGAATGCTGCCCAGCATCTCCATGCCTGGCTCTAGTGGAGCTCAGACTGGCTTTGTGAGTGGGTTGTCATCTTTTCTCAGCGTGCATCCATGGGACGTTCAGGAGGTTGGAAGGAGAGCCAGCTATTCACCTGGCTCCCTTAACTGCTCATGTGGAGGGACACCAGTCTTACTGATGGCGTGGTATGAGCTTCCAGTCTTCCTGTGGGCAGAGAGGCACCCAGCTTAGAGGAAAGTGAGGCCATAGCCTGCTGTGTTCCCATGCATTTCTTCTGGAAGCACTTTAACATCCATTAACCTTGGAGGGAGGGTCACCACCTTGGATAACTCATCAGGAAGCTGGGACCCAGAGAGGGTAATGGATATCCAGTCACACGGGCACGAGGCCTGAGCTGGCGCAGGGGCTGGGCTCCCTCCATCCAGCATAAGCACCTCATAGCCAGCCCCTGGGCCTAGTCAGCCACCCAGGTGGGGCACAGAGAGTGCTCAGAGTGTACCTGTTCTGTGGAGACTCCCAGAAGGCGGTCTCGGGTGGGCACCCTCACCCACCCGTGTGGCAGAGATGATTACATTGTGGGGCTTGGACATGTGCCCCAGGGGAGTTTGTGCCCTGGTTTGTGGACACTCGCAGGAGGGGTCTAATCCAGGATGGGGCCTCAGGCCTCTGTGTTGAGTACCAGAAGATCCTCAGAGCTGGTTGGAAAAGCTGCTGTGATGGGGAGTGAGCAGAGTGCCAACTTTGGGAGTGTGTAAGGCTGGGGGTCTGGAGAGCCATAGAGGCGGGGGCCTGAGAGGCACTGAAGGACCGGTTCATGCAGGAGCCCCATGCTGGGGCCATGGGCAGTTTGTCCACCCCGGGCCCCTCCATGTGCCCACGGAGCACGGGTGGCATGTCCTCCAGCCTGAGGTCCCTCCTCCTGGGATCTCTGTCTGCCACCTCTCTGGGTGAGAGGGCTTAGGCTCCAGTCCAGCTGTGCCCCAAGCTGTCATGGGCCTAAGCAGGTGGTCAGCCTCTAGATCTGAAGCACCTGGCCTCTCAGGTGGAGCCAAGAGCATGGACCACAGCCCATAGCTGGGAGCCTCAGAGGAGGAGAGGGTGTCTTGGTGTCCAGCACCCAGGGCAGAGGTGAGGAGGGGTGGGGCTCCCATCACCTCCTGTGTGTGCCAGCCTCCATCTCTGGGCCCTTAGCACCTCAGGGCTGCAGTGTGAGGGAAACCCTGAGTAGCGTGCAGGAGAGGCTGGTTCACACCGAGGACGGGACTCTGCTATAAGGTCTAAGGCATTTGGGGTCACCTACACTGGGGTGCTGCCATGATAAGGCCCAAGGTGGGCTGTGGGCAATCTGACCAGAGGTGGGCTGTGGGCAATCTGGACAGAGGTGGCAGGGAGCGGGCCCAGGGTATGAGCTTGTGACAAGATGGAAGTGGGGGTAGAGGGACTTGGAAAGGTGACGGAAGTAGTCTTTTATGTGTGAAAATTGAGCAGGAATGTGATTCCTCAGGGAAAACTTAAAGAGTCCTGGGCCCTGCCAGGGGCTGGAGGAGGCAGCGGTCTGGCCGATATCCCAGGGGCTGCAGACCCACCCAGCACGGCTCCTTGCCCTTTCTCTCTGGAGCCAGGGCAGCGCCCCACCTGGCTAACAGCACCTTCTCCCCGCAGATGTCAGGCTGGTGTCCGAGCAGTTCTCGCAGTCACCGCAGAAGCTGTCTTTCTACAGCTGGTATGGCAGCACCAGGCTCTTCCAATTCCGCGTGCCCCCAGACACCGTGCTGCTGCGCTGCCTGTTCCACGTGTCACGGGGAGGCAGTCCCACGTGTGCCAACGTGGAGATCACCGTGTAGGTGCCCACTACCCACCCACCCTCGCCGACCCAAGGCCCACGTCTGATGCCTGCCCTGCTCTCCCTGCTCCAGGTACTTCCGCTATGGCGCCCCGCCGGTCATCAACCCCCTGGGCACCAGCTTCCCTGACAATACCTCTGTGCAGCCCTCCTTCCTCGTCAAGATGCTAGAGAGCAACGCCTCTGTTAACATCTCCCACCCTGCACCTGGGGACTGGTTTGTGGCTGCCCACCTACCCCCTTCATCCCAGAAGATTGAGGTGAAGGTGAGGAGGGTTGCCACCCACATAGAAGGGGCAGGACCCCTTGGTGCAGGAATGTCTGTCCTTGGCAGTTACTTTCTCAGAGCAGGCCTCACTCTAGGCTGTCCTGCTCCAGTCCTGCCCACCCCACCCCGCACACCTGGACTCTCTGCCCAGCTCCCCCACATGTCTGCATTCTTTTCCCCCACCACTCATTCTTTCCCTAGGGCTTTGCTCCCACCTGTGCCTACATCTTCCAGCCGGACATGCTGGTCGTGAGGGTGGTTGAGGTCTCCATTCTGGAGCCAGACATGCCCCTTCTGCAGACCCTCCTCTCCCGCCCCAGCTACCTCAAGTGAGTGGGAGCACTTGGAGGAGGCCCAGCCTCTGGCTTGATGGAGGGGGTGGGCCTGGTGTTGTCCCTGTGCTGGTAGGAAAGCCAGGGGCCTGGGTCTCAGGGTTGTGCTGGGAAGTGGAGCCTCTTTGGCCCTCTTTGGCCACCACCCTGAGTGCAAACCATGTGGGAAGGTTGGTGGAAGCTGCAAAACCTGAACCAGGCCATACACCTTGGCCACAGAATCTTCATCCCTGAGTACACCCAGGAGTTGCGTCTGGACCTAAAGGGCTGTGTGTCCAACGGGAGCCTGGGCTGCCCCGTGCACCTCACCATGGGCTCAGCCACCCTGCCCAGCAACTTCCAGAAGGTGCTGGCCTGCACCGGCCCCACCAGGACCTGCCACCTGCTGCTGCCCTCGCCACCCTGGGATAGGTGGATCCAAGTGACAGCCAAGAGCCTGGCAGGACTCCATGTGTCTGTGGTATTCAGCATCGTGGCTGCCATCACAAGTGGGTTGTGTGGGGAGAGGGCAGGGTGGGATGTCTCTGCCCCCTGCCCTTGACCCCCACGCCTCCCTCCGGCTGAGCCCTGGTGCTCCTGTCAGCCTGCAGGCCGAAGACCATAACCTCGCAGCACCTTCAGAGCAGCCTGAGCCAGAGCCGCAACGCCTCCACTGGCCTGATGCCCATGAGCCTTGGCCACCAGGACCTGGGCGGGAGCCATGGGCTGGGCAGTGGCTCCTTCTGCCTCATGAGCTACCCCGTTGTGCGGGAAGACATGGATGTGGTGTCTGTGCGGTTCCGGCCCCTGGACAGGGTCTCCGTGTTGGTACAGTCTGGCATGCCCTCAGTGATGCGGCTGTACCTCGACACAGGCATGGACGGTGGGGGCTCCCTCACCCTCTCCCTGCAGGCCAATGAGGTAGCTCCCTGTGACCTGGCTCAGCTGGGGCACAGGCCTTCCCGCCAGTTTTGGCATGGAAGTGGGGTCAGGGGGCCCTTCAGGAAACAAAGTGTCCCCAGCCAGCTTGGACCAGGAAAGGGGCTCTGTTCAAAGAAGGGGAGGCCTACTCCCCATGGTGGCATGGGCCCAGGGCTGTGCCTGCAGGTGGTGCTGGGGGCTGTGTGTCTGTAGACCTGGAAGGGGGATCCTGGGCCAGTGCAAGCCACAGAGAAGGGCGCTGCATGCCAGACTGAGTGAGAGCTTCAGGTGATGTTGGTTCTGCCTGCCTGGTGGCCAAACTGGGCTCGGGCTGACCCTGTGTGGCCTCTTCCAGACCGCACTTGCCAACAACACCCTGGTAGTGGTCTGCGTGAATGCCGCCGCCCCCTTCCTCAGCTTCACCACCTCACTCAACTGCACCACAGGTATGGCGCGTGGCACTGGGCCTGCCACCCGCTAGCCCCTGGCTACCCTGACCAGGCCTTCCCACCCCTGCAGCCTTCTTCCAGGGCTATCCCCTGTCTCTGAGCACCTCAGCTCATAAGGCCACCCTCATCATCCCCTACCCAGAGACAGACAACTGGTACCTCTCCCTGCAGCTCGTGTGCCCTGAGGGTCCTGAGTGAGTAAACCTGGGGCTGGAGGGAGGCCATTTAGGGCTGCCAGACGGGGGCAGGCAGCAGAAGGCTGAAACATTGCCTTCAGGACCAGGGACGAGGCCACCCACTTTCGAGTCTGGGAGTGACCCATCTTCCTACAGGGTCACTTGCCCTCTGGGAATCAGAAGAGATCCCATTCTCTACCTGGCTACCCCTCCTGCCAGCACACAGGAAGGAGGACTAGCCTAGGTCACAGCCCTGGACAGACTGGGACTTGGGGCAGAGCAAGGGGAAAAGGACATCATGGCCTCAGCAGATCTCATGGTTGCTGTCCTCCAGGGCTTAGAGCCTGGGGGCCTCAGTTCTGGGTTCATGTGTCCAAGATCCTGCTGGGAGCCCTGGCAGGGGACTGGCCAGCAGACCTCAGCAGCCTTCCTGTGGCTCCTTTCTCGCAGGGAGTGTGAGCAGGCTCTGGTCCCAGTAGAAACCACTTTATACTTGGTGCCCTGCCTGAATGACTGCGGACCTTATGGCCAGTGCCTCCTGCTGCGCAGACACAGCTACCTGTATGCAGGCTGCAGCTGCAAGGCAGGTGAGGGCCAGGCCCCCAGATACTCCTGCTCGTGGCTTCCCAGCCTCTGAGGACTCTGCCAAGGCTGGGAATCGCTTCTCTCTGTTCCAGGCAAGCACAGAGGTGACTGAGATGACCTCACCTCTTGACCTTAGCCTTCTCTCCCCACACCTGTCTCCCACAGCTGTCTATGTGCCCACATCTTTCCCATACCTGTCTATACCTGCTGCCCACATGTGCCCCATACCTGCCTACAATTGCCCATACCTGCCCTCACCTACCTTACCTGTCCATACATGCCCATGGCTGCCCAAAGCTCCTCTCATCTGCCCACTCATGTGCCCTACCTGTCTTATAACAGCCCACATCTGCTCATACTTGCCCCATACCTGTTCTACACTTGCCCACACCTGCCCTATACCTGTCTACACAAGCCCACACCTGCCCTATACCTGTCTACACAAGCCCACACCTGCCCTATACCTGTCTACATCTGCCTACACTGGCCTATGTCTGCCCACACATGTCCTACACCTGTCCCAGCCTGTTCCTGAGAGAAAAAGGGCTTCTCTGCAGGGTGCTGGGTGAGGAGCAGGCCCTGAGGTTCAGAGTGCCTGGCCTCAGCCCCCTTGGTGTAACATTGGCCACAGGCTGGCGTGGGTGGAGCTGCACAGACAATAGCACAGCCCAGACGGTAGGCCAGCAGAGGCTAGCCATGCTCCTGCTCACCCTCAGCAACCTCATGTTCCTGGCTCCTGTTGCCATCTCCATGCGCCGCTCACTCCTGGTGGAGGCCTCCGTCTATGCCTACACCATGTTCTTCTCCACGGTAGGCATCTCCTCTGCTGTGGGGAGGGTGGGGAGGTTGGGGAGGTCTGGGCCACGCTCACCTCCCTGCCTTGCAGTTCTACCACGCCTGCGACCAGCCTGGGGAGGTGGTGCTGTGCATCCTCAGCTATGACACGCTGCAATACTGTGACTTCTTGGGCTCTGGAGTATCCATCTGGGTCACTATCCTCTGCATGGCGCGGCTGAAGGCAGCCCTGAAATACGTGAGTGTGCTCCCAATCCCCGGGACTGGGCTCTGGGAGAGCAAAGGACCTCATGTGCAGTATGTTGTGGAACAGACCAGAAGAAGGGCTTGCTGCTGCTCTCAGAAGCCTCCTGTCTTTCCTGGCACCCACTGGAAGAAACTGCTTTCAGATATCAAGGGACTGTGCTGGCAGGTTGGAGGGACCAGGACAGGAAGGTGGTGGGCAGGGTTAGGTAAGGCCCCCAGCCTGTCTCTCCTGGGGCCCCATTTGGTGAGAAGGCCTGACCCGAGGCCAGACTTCCCTGAGAGGCTCTGAGTTATGCTCCTGGAATCCCTGGTGCCAGGGGCACTGTGGGTACTTTTCTGCCAATCCAGGCCTGGCTACTGAAGATGCATGCCTGGTGTCCTGCCAGGCCAAGTTTTGCCTCAGAGACTTACCTGTGGATGGATCAGGGCGCTATGGCTCCCACCTGCACAGGAGCTGGAGGAGGCGCACCTTCTTCCCAGTCAGCAGAGCAGGACAAAATGTGCCAGCAGTTCCGAGGGGGTGGGCAGAAAATGCTGGGGGCAGTGGGGATAGCAAGATGACCTGCATGACCAGGCCACCTGCTCTTGTTGGACTGTGGAACATCACTGATGAACCTGGGCTCTTGTGACCCTGTGGCTGTCCCTGTGTCTTGCCCAGGTTCTGTTTCTTCTGGGCACGCTGGTGTTTGCCATGTCCTTGCAGCTGGACCGCAGGGGCGCCTGGAACATGATGGGGCCTTGTTTGTTTGCCTTTGCAGTCATGGCCACCATGTGGGTAAGAGCTGGGGCAGCTGATGCTCCTGGCCCAGACCCCTTCCCTGGTGATTGGGATGGGGGCTGGTCTCTCCACACACCGGCTCTGTGGGAGGACAGAGCCTGGCCCCTCACTCTGACCATGCCTCTCACCCTGGGCCTGAGTCCTGCACACCTGCTGAGTGCCACAGGTGGCCCCCTTGGGGCCCAGTGTGCTTCATGCCCGAGGACCCCTCAGGTCTTTGTGCTGGTGAGCCCCCTCCAAGCAGCCCACACCTATGGTCCCACTGCTCGGGCCTGGGCAGGCTGGGACTTGTAGCCTCCCCTGCCCCCTCCCACCATGCTCATGTGGCGGTTTTCTCCAGGTATACCGCTGTGGGCACCGGCGCCACTGCTACCCCACCTCCTGGCAGCGCTGGGCCTTCTGCCTCCTGCCTGGCATCAGCATGGCTGCTGTGGCCATTGCCATCTATACTTCTATGACAACCAGTGACAACTACTACTACACCCACAGCATCTGGCACATGCTGCTGGCAGGGAGTGCCGCCTTCCTGCTGCCGCCAAGGGATTCGCACACCAAGCCCTGGGCCTGTTCGCAGAAGCTCCCCTGCCACTATCAGATCTGCAGGAACCACCGGGAGGAGCTGTACGCGGTCACGTGACAGGGTCTAGGCAGCTCTCAGGATGACCTCTCCAACCAGGGGCAGGACTGAGGGAGAGGGACCCCGTCCAGATCAATTTCCAGCTGAATAAAATTGCCCTGCACACCTGTTTGCTTCCTCCACCTGAGGAGAGAACCGCACGCCCCACTGCCTGGCTGTTGCGGTCCCCCTGCGGGTCCTAGCTGGTGTTTGCAGCGGCCCCTGGGCCTGGGCCTGGCTGCCTGGAGAACACAGGTACCGTGTGGGGAAGGTTGTGTGTTCTGACCAGGGGATGGTTGGATATGTGGGGAAAGATCCCCCCATGGCCCTATCCTCTGTGAGGCTGTGATTGACCCGGAGGGACAGAGGAGGCCTTAGCCCACCTCCCACAGGTCCCCACTGCTAAGGCTGGGAACTGCCCTCCCTGCATCCCTGGCTCCGAACACTGTGTGCCCCTGAATGTCAGTCGGCCTCAGACTTGACACCGATGTGGTTGCTTTAGGGAGAGGCGACTACAATCACCAGGCAGCTAATGGGCCCTGGGGTGCGCAGAGGCCAGATGCCAGGAGACTAGGAGCAGCCAGCTTCTGGTCGCCCAGCTCTGCCCTCTCCTGCCTCTGGCTGTAGCTTTAGAGCCCCGGGCCCCCAGGAAGAGCTTCCTGAGGAGGGAGCTGCCTAGCTGCCCTGACTCGGGGGTGCCGGTACCACAGGGCCTTCCTTGCTCCAGCATTGTGTCTGCACCCACTCTGGGACCCAGGGCCCTTGTATGGGGAGCATACTCTTCAGCTGCTCCCAGGAGAGGAGGGGATGGCCGCTGCCCTGCACTAGTCCAACCCTCATTTGGGGAGCAGGCTCCTGCGGACCTGGCCCAGCCTATTTCCTCTGTAGGAGAAGCAGGGTAAAGAGAAGAAACTGCCCCAGGAGCAGTGCCCTGCCCTCCCTAGGGCAGGGCCGCTGCCTGTGGGATGGATGCTGGGCTAGCAGGGTAAAGAGAAGAAACTGCCCCAGGAGCAGTGCCCTGCCCTCCCTAGGGCAGGGCCGCTGCCTGTGGGATGGATGCTGGGCGGGGCCTTGAGGAGCTGGGAGCAGGGTCAGCTTGCAGCCCTTCCACCTTCTGTCCTAGGGGCTTCCCTTCTGTGTCCTGTCCAGTTGTGGCCTCCACTGCACCATGTACCCTGCATCTAGCCACCGGAGCACTCTCTAGGCTTGTAAAGGAGAAACATATACGGTGTTTTCTGGGGTAAAAAATTTTAAGACATTAAGAGACAATTTTATGTAGCTCTGATTTCTCTGTGATTGGTGAATATTCTACATTGATATTTCAAGGCAAATGGGTTACCTTGCTGTCTGCGCCTCCGGGAGGAGGTGGGTGGGAGTGAGCGGGGGGGATCCTTCCTCGCCTCGCCTCTCCCCGCCCAGGTTGCAGCTCGAGGAAGACGCGGCCGCACTTGCAGACGGTGCCTGGCGGTGCCTCCGTGTCTGCAGGGCGTTTTCCACGGTCCCAGAAGATGGAAGAAAAGAGGGCGGGACGAGGGTTAGTCGGACGGGTGTCGCAGCCAGTCAGCGGCGGGTAGACCGTGGGGTTTTCGGTTCCGGCACCGCACGGATCTTGGGCGGTAGACTCCGTTTCTCGGCGCCCGGCCGAATTGAGCGGGGTACCTGGCTTCCGGCCAGGGCCAAGCCGGGGGCCGGGGTGTGGTCGCACGGGATTGAAGACTGGGTCGGGTCTGGCTGGGCTGCGGCGTAACGGCGATCCCCGCCTCTGCCGCTGTCCAGGCGCGCCCCGATGCCCCTGCCTCTCTCCAGGTGCGCTGCGATGCCCCTGCACAAGGTCCCGGCCCACCTGTGGAAGCAGCTCCTGCTGCGCGAGGGCTTGTGCCCCCGCCTGCCCAGCCACTACCTATGCTCCCTGGAGGAGGCGCGGACGCACGGGGCCAAGTTCAAGATCAGTCCCAAGAACGGGCAGCGGGAGCGCGTGGAGGACGTACCCATTCCCATTTACCATCCCCCGGAGTCCCAGCTGGGGCTGTGGGGCGGCGAGGGCTGGATCCTGGGCCACAGATACACCAGCAATGACAAGGTCTCCCTGCTGGGCATCAGAGCTGACAGGACAAGACAGGACAGTCTGGGGAACGTGCTGATAAGCAGAGTTACAGTTTGGGCAAGTACTGCTCCCTGTGAAACCATTGGGCACTCTGAGACAGGCGGTTCATAAACAGTCAGTGCAAAGGCCCTGGGGTGATTGCCCAGATCAAGTGTAAGGATGGGGAAAAGGCCTGTATATTGAGGGGAGGTAGGAGAGGTGAGGTCTGTGCGCACCTGTCAGCCTCCAGCACCACAGTTTGCCTTGCCTGCTTCTCATAACCCAAGGCTGGCACTGCCACTTCCCTGCTGCACATAGGAGGGCTGAGAGACTGACTCAGGCCAGGCCTACTGAGACTGCCCCTGATGCCGGGCTGTCTCTGGTGGGAACCCTGGAGGGGGCTGCCGAGTCTCTGGGAGAGGCTGGTGTCTCCCTTTGCCTTTGGCCCCTAGGTCCCTGGTTTAGGATGTGATGATCTGTGGATGATGGTGTGGTATGTCTGGAACACACACCAGCTACTGGGAGGATCTGGGGGTACCAGGCTGGCTGAGAAGCAGCCGACCTCTTGGTGGGCAATCAAGTCCACAGGTGGGGGCTGGTCCACCCAGTTCCATGTCCCAGGCCTCAGGTGGGTGCCCCGAGTCCTTGGGCCTGTAGGTACACAGTCTGTCTCTCCTCTGCTGTCCAAGTGGGTGAAGAAGGTGTGGAAGCCACAGCTGTTTCAGTGTGAGCTCCACAGTGAAATCCTGGACGCAACCTTCAGTGTCACTGACCATGAGGACCCTGGATCTCATTGACGAGGCCTGTGGGTTTGACTTCTACATCCTCAAGGCAAGTGGGGCATGCCAGACAGCACACAGTGGGTCCTCGTGGGCAGGCTCTGGGCACACTGACGTCTGGGGTGGAGGGTCACTCAGTGAGAGCAGTTGTCTCCTCCCCTACACTTAGGCTGTCTTCTGTTCTGGCCTGGGTTCTGGGGCTGCCCACCTGGCCCATTGCCCTGCCAAGCTAGCCTAAGGCCCACCCAATGCTGGGGAGGGGCAGGGGAGCAGGGCCCTACTGGCGATTCCTGGTCCCATGTGTAGCCTCCTACCAGACCCCAAAGGAACACCTGTGCTCCAAGTTCGGGATGGACCTGAAATGAGGTATGCTGCTGCAGCTTGCCCAATGGGATCCGAAGCTGCACCTGGACGACCCTGAGAGGAGGGCAGCCATCTATGACAAGTACAAGGTGAGGGCTTTGGCCTGTGCTTCCTGCTCCTCGTGGGCCCACCAGCGCTCCCACCCCTGCCACTCCCTCACTGCGCACCCCGTCTCTGCCTGCCCAGGAGTTTGTCATCCCAGAGGCAGAGGCTGAGTGGGTTGGCCTGACACTGGACGAGGCTGTGGAGAAGCAGTGGCTTCTGGAGGAGAAGGTGAACATGTGTGAGCACCCACTGCCCTGCCCTCTCAGGGGTGGGCCCAGCGCCAAGCCCTGCAGACAGAAGGGAGGGACCACAGTGCCGGTGGGCTCCAAATGGCATGTTCTCTCCCATTAGGGTCCTGATCCTCTGTGCTAGCTTCATAAGTTCATAAACAGAAAGACTTGGTGAAAAGAGCTGGATTTTTTACATGATTGGTTTATTTGGCTGTCGAGGGTCCCTAGAAGAGTCTGGGGTCTGTGGTAGCCTCTGGGACAGGGAACCCACCTATGACACAGCAGCCGCAATCCATGTTTCTTCTGCTTGTTTTTCTGCCATCACAGTACCCCAAGGCAGGGACTCCAGGAGCAGGCACCTGGTCCCTGTGTCCCCATGAGAAGGTGGCCCCTGTCTCATGGACAGGGCATTGCCCTCTGGGCTGGGGACTGAGGGTGGCAAAGAGTTGGGTCTGTGGTCAAGCCTGAGGGACCTGGTGCTCTCATGCCTCATCTCTGTTTGGGCAGCAGCAGCTGGATTCCCACCTTTCTCAGAGCTCTTCACTGACCTGTCTTGTCCCTGTAGGACCCTGTTCCTCTGTCCAAGGTCTACGTGGAGGAGCTGATCGAGCAACTTCAGCAGCAGGTGCTGTCTGAGCGAGCACAGAAGAGCCAATGGGAAGTGGCCACACAGTGACCCGCTCCTGACAGCCAGGCTCAGCCCCCCTGTAGCTCCGTGGGCACAGAGCCTGGGGTGGTGGCGAGAGCACCCCCTTCCTGTGTGTGCTCCTGGGTGGAGTGGACTTTGTGGAGGCCCTGATGACTCCCAGAGGCCTAAGGGCCATCTCCCTGCCTCTAGAGCTCTCTCCCCACCCAGGCAGAGGCCCAGCAAAGCAGGGCCACTGTACTTGATGGGGGCCGTGCAAGTAAAGTCTGAGCCTGACTGTGTGCTGCCTTGCTTGGAGGACCCGGGCTCTCCCTTGCAGCCTCTGACCTCCTGACTCCCTGCCTCAGAGCCCCAGGATGTGGCTGTAGTGGGTGGTGGTCCCGGCTCAGATGGGAGTCAGGGTGTTGTGGTGCTTTTCTCGCCTCTGGAAGAGAGCCCAGCATGGCTAAAGGCGTCCGCAATAGAGCAGGAAGCACTTGTCCCCTCCCCATCGCATGTCTCTGCCTGCGTGCATGTGTTCTCCAGAGCAGGTGGGGAGGCTGTGGCCTGGCTTTGGGGGTGACAGGGATGTACCTGTGCTGGCATGCCTCTCAGGGTGGTGAGTACCCCCACCAGCTCCGGAAGGCTGTGCTGGTGACAGCATCTGTGGGGAAAGCCTTGAATTGGGAGCTTTGGTCAGTACCGCTCTGTCTCTGTCACAGAGAGTGGGCAGTATGGCCTGTGGTCTGGCTGTGCCTTCCTTGGCTGACCCATACTTGATCCCAGGTAGGGATGTGACTCCCAGTGGGAGGCTGGGCCAGGAACCCTTAGGCTTCTCCTACTTTGATTTGGGGGTGCCTTGACCTGACACTTACCTGGAAGTACTGAGCTTTGAGACCATATCAGGCCTTGTTGAGGTGTCCAGCAGGGTTCCCCTGACTTGGTCCTGGCAACTGACTGAGGGGCACCAGGCTTCCCTAAGGGGTGCTGTCAGTGGGG